CTTATTTTTTCAGGGCCAGCCGCACGATTGCTGAGAAGACGATCTCAAATGCTTACAAGTAGTTCCACGACATCACCACTTCGGGGGCTTGGCTCGCCGACGATATAAGTGAAATGAAAATATTGTTATTTATTATGTATGTTCAAAATCAATTTTTTGAATGAAATTCATAGATTAACTCCTTTCTTTATTGGTGTTTCTTGATGTAGCACATCGACTTGAGCATGGATTTGCTACGAGATCGTGCCGAAAGACATCCAAAATCATTCAACATTCCTGGCAGACTCATATTGAACACTGAGTTCATCCGTGCCGTTGACATTGAGTACCAGTCGTTCCAGGCTATGGGTAGCGAGTACACGGTGCCGGAATATATGATGGAATGGGTCGTAGGGATGTGGCCGAGTGTCGGTGGGAAGCCATGGGATGGCTGTACGCATATGTACGTACCAGTATGTCTGAATCATCACTACATTACAGTGGAAATCGTATTCACCGACTCCACGATGTATGTGTACGACCCCGATCATTCATGCCTGACACAAGGCCAGCTCGAGCAAAATCTAGAGTCGGTGTCTGTGATCTTTCCCATGATGGCTAGACGAGCGAACATCACTGTACAGGACAGATTGGCCACCGTGCGGAACACGACAACGGCGAAGCGGCAAATATCGTAAGTGTTTGTAATTTTCTTTTTGTCATTTACATCTTAGGTTCTAACTAATTTTCGATGTGCTAATACAACTAATTTTCTATGTGCTAATACAACATTGTTTAATTGTATGGGTGATTGCGGTATGTTCGTCATCAAGTACATAGAATTTTTGAGTGTGGCACATAAAGTTGATGCAATCAACCAGGCATGGATACAAAATTAGAGAAATAAATTAGCATGTGATTTATTTGAATTTAATGGGGATCCGTAAATAATTGTACATATTTTTACATTTATTTAAACATTGTACAGTTCATTCGTTTATTTGTAATTACAAAAGAATTGTAAAATGTTGATTATTTATGTAATATTTAAATATTTATTTTACAATGCAGCCTACCGTATAATGCAGTGTCTAGAAAAAGCTTCGATTTCAAATAATTAATATAAATAATATGCATAACAAATGAATGTAATGAATGAAATGTTTGAAAAAATACTAAATCTAATAATTCACATAAATAATATGTATAAATAATTAACGTCAATGTTATAAATAATTACATTGCCAATAGTTATTAAAATTACACATCCGTTACATTGTCATGCAGAGGAATCTGACTTGTACAATATCTTCTAATATGCCCTGTTGCACCGCACTTACGAGGCTGGGGAAACTCTCCAGTAGATGGTATTCTAGACGTACGTGTACATCCAGGAGTACATGGTCCAACTGCTGGTAGCTACAAGTTATTCAGTGAGAGAATGCGGTCGAGCACTTCCCACTCGACTTCATTTGGTACAGGAAATATTGTTTCCACATATGCTGCTCTCCAATAATCAATCATGTAATACACACTGCATAAGGTGTGTGGTGGTAATCCTCTATGCATAGCCACTACCACTGCATGTGTACACGGAAAACTCTCCAACTGAAACCGTCTACACGTGCACGTGTTATCATTCAAGTCCACAATGTATCCGAAATTACGTGCACATCTCACGGAGAAGCGAAATTGATCCAGTGGTTCTACATAAACCTTTCTTGCCACATCTAGAGTCTTGAAGAGCTTATCTTCTTGAGCCGGGGTTAGCACACTTGCACAACTCTGTGATTCCTCACGTCGATTATGAAACCACTGTTATAGTTTGTCACGAATGTTCTCAATCATTGCGAGAATTGGTAACTCTCAATCTTTCTTGAATAAAGAGTTAAGCGACTCCGCATTGTTCGACGTCATCATGTTGTATCGACCTCCTGGAAAATGTGATCGTGCCCAATGTTCAATCCCCATCTCTGTTCGATACTCCTATGCAGCATGCGATTTACTTTCTATTTCGACAATGAACTTAACAAACTCTTCAAAACTATAAGCCTCTGCAACTCTCCTAAACAAAGTAACGACGCCATTGCCTCGATACCTGGTTTTCAAGTTTCCCTGTATATGGTACATACAACCATGATGTGCCTCGGGGAAGACTTCGGCGATACCATTTATTATTGACTGCCCTCGATCAGTTACGAATGCAAGATTTTCGACATCTCCAATTATTTTCCTCAACTTCGTGAAAAATCAATTCATCGCTATATCATTTTCTCCGTCAACTATGCCGAACGCAAGAAGGTAAATTTGGATGTTCGCATCTTGGCATGTTGCAATAATCAACTTGCCCCCGTATCTCGCTTTAAGGGTTGTACCGTCGACTAAGATTAGGGGTCGCATTGCATTTCGAAATCCTCGAACACATTGTCCAAGGGCCATAAAGAAATATTTGAAGCGATTTTCGTCATCCTTCTCAATAAAAAATGCCGACCCAGTATTAATTCTTCCCATGTTATAGCAATACCTGGCCAATGTAAATAAAAATAATCATAATTTAGATAATATATTAAATATTAAATGAACAGAAAAATAAAAAATTCAATTAAATAATTAATTACATATAAATAAACAATTGAAATTAAATAATTAAAATTTAAAATAACAAAGAAATAAACACTTAAACAATGAAATACCTGGCTAATTTAGCATAACTCTCCTCGGTCGAACCCATCAAATCCTCCAATATACATTCTTTAGCCTTCCAAGCCTTCTGATAGCTCATGACCACCCCGTACTCTCGCCGAAAGTCATTAATGATATCCGAAGGTCTGTAGATCGTTCGTGGATCTTGGAACTTGTGCATTATTTCTCGACCAATGAACCATGATCGGGCCTGCTTATGATCATTTCGACAAATACCCACTTCGCAAGTATGTTCCCGTGCATACTTACGGACTACAAAGAACTCATTCGTGTCCATCTTAGTCGCTCGCAAACGCCAATGGCAACTGTCGTCAACGCAGATAATTGTGTACATCGACTTGTTTGATTTCTTCACTTTAAACTCAAAGTTATGTTTTAAAGTAATTTGGTGCACAGCTTCTTGCAATTCTTTCTTTGATTCGAATAGTTGCTCGACATATACATCTTCATCATCGGAAATTACACGCAAACAATTAGAGGACCGTGTACTTGGTTCGGCTTGTGAGCTCCCACCCAACTCATGTCTCCTACGAGATAAAGCAATCAAATCCTCTTTTGTAAATGCATTTTCATTCTCGTTGTCTTCAACTATCGATGGAAGTCTGTGCGTAACAGTGTGATCATGGTGAGTAGCAGTGGTTTCGGGAATAACCACATCATCTTCACAAACAATCTGAATTGTATCCCAAACATCATTTACATTACGATTCTCTTCATTTGAAACTTCGTGTTCACCCTCGTGGACATTCTTCCCCAATAAAGTTACGCAAATAAGAGTCGACTTTCGGCCTTGGTTCAATTTAATTAGATGTTTCATTTCCACTTCAGAAGTAACTTTCATAGGTGAAATTGGAATAATCCCAATTCCATATCGTACTGAGAGGGATCGACGTTAAGCATATTTTGTATATCACTGTACATTTCTGCAAACGATTTTCTCCTTTGTTATAAAAATTGCTTTAACCTCATCTCCTTCACTCGTCAATTTTCATTCTCACTGAGTATTTTCATTCATTTGAAATTTACCGAAGTAACAAATTGGAACACATGTTGATGCCATATCTGCCACAAATTAAAAATAAGGAATTAATATATAATTTTTTAAATTGTTCATTTCATATTTAATTTAATTTTATACTTTAAATAATTCATTGATTATTTTAATTGTTTTAAAAATATTCATTTCAATTAGTATTAAATATTCATTAATATTTATTTCAATATATTAATGAACAAATAAATTCTAAAATCTGAAAGGGGAGGGGAGGGAAAAAAAAAAGTAGGCAGGCTGGAAATATTTGGCCCAGCTTTTTTCGTCCGTTTCATCTGAAATTTACGCTCGAATTTTTTATTTTTCCCTTTTTCAACGAAATAATATTTAAATATTTATTTTACAGACACCTATAAATTTTTTCTGTAAAATATATGCATACAGTGATGAATTTTTTTGTTGTTTTTGCTATAAAAAAATTATACATCTGCGTTTAAATACTGTAAAATTCATCTGCCTTTGTCAAAAAAAGATTTAAAGATTCAAACAGTAAATTTAACTAAAACAAAATAAAAAATATGTATTTACACTTACCAATTTTCAGTGCCGACTGTGAGTATTGTTTCTTTATTGAACCTTTGATAATTTTGGGAGATTTCAATATTCTAGCAGATGGAAGGAAAAAATTCTTTTTTACTGTATTGGAGAAAATGATAAGCAAAACTGATTTTGAAATTTACGTATAGAAGTAATTGAATTTATTTAAACTTTTAAGGGTATTATTGTCTTTCAAAAAATTGATATACTTTTATAATTGTGAAACATAAATAAGGGCACAATTATTTTTTTTATTGACAAGAGATGAATACCAAAAAAAAAAAAAAAAAAAAAAAAGAAGGTCAAATTGGAAAATTGGTTGTTTGACTAAGCCAATTTAAAAAGTACCCCCAACGCTACGTCATAACTCCTATAGCCACCACACCGCGAACCGACCCACGACTTTTTGTACAGATTCGAGAGGTAAAGGTACGATCTTTGTATAGAAACACTTACAAATCGTTATACGTATCTTGCCCGTGTATGTCTGTGTTAGTGTGTGGATTTATGTTTGGTTTAGTTATTCAAAGGATCTATATTTTGATATGGGATTTGATTTGTTTTACGATTTGTGTGTTTGGAATTATGGGTTTATTTCGTTGACTGAAAGAGGCAGATCCTGTTCACGTATAAAGGGTTGAAAAGATGAGTTATTTTTCCTTTTGAATCCATATGAATGTGAATTTAGGGTTCGGGTTGCTGCCGGGGAGGGGGGGGGGGGGCCGTAAAATATGAAGCAAAAAATAAATGACTTACTTTTGCTGCGTCTATCTGGAATTCTTTCGGATGGTTGATCTTGGAAGCAAATATCGTTTGATGAATAATTATGTCTGCATACCACATTTCTGAAGTTCTCTAATTTTTATTGGATTAGTTTCTAAATTATTGGCATTTATTTGGAACTCTTTTAAAAATTTATTTCTTCAAATAATTGGTTTATGTCGGCCTGTTGGGCAAGTTTCTTCAGGCTTTTCTCTGACCATGAGAAGCATACTCCTGTACAAACCCACCTATCCTTTTGGTAAGTGTAGAAATTAGAATATCATGGTTTCACTCTCGTAATATAATGAGCATGGGAAGGTTTGACTCAAAGACGCCAGGGGAGTTGTTGGAAGAGAACATATAAATGGTGTGCTTTTTGTCATCTATATTCTGATTGCTTCTTGATTGGTTGTGGTAGATGCATTCTGCATTTATATGGTTATCTTCTATTAAACAAAACAGTGCAAGGTTCTTCCAATAGTAGAATTAGACATCCGTCATATTAGTACCGAAATTACATGTTGGATTCGAATTCTGTGTCCAAAAATTTGGATTTGTTTAGGATAAAACAGAATTTGGAGTTGGTTCATTCAATTTTCGATATCTAAGCATTTCTCGTGTTTTTTTCGAGTCAGTTACTTTGCAATTGTGCTGCATAAAAAGCTGTCTTCATAGTGGTAAACAGTGGGCAAACAATAAACAACTTATGGTTCGATGATCTGGTCTCATAAGTTGGTGCATTAGTTCTATAGTTAATTGTTAAGCGATACAAAGACAGGCATGCACCATTTCTTTGAATTATACATAGACTAGCTGCTTGCTTATGTTCCTTACTAATTATACATAGTGGTATTCTATGGTGCTCGGACTCACCATTCTAGCCGGCGTGCACATGTCGACATGACACAACACGGGTACGGGTAAGGAATTGGATTATTCAAGTTTCAATTGGACCAAACAAGAAATCTTTAGAAAAAATTTGTAGATTTACCTTAGCGGCAGTTTGGCTAGAGATGGAAGATGTCTATAAAGAAATAGTAGATTGGTGTTGGTGGTCCTTGGTCCAAAATAAATATGCTGGCTCTTTGTATATGTTCACTGGAAACCCTAAAATCATGAAGAAGAAGAATCCGAGAGAAGATTTGGGTTTAATTGTAGCCTGGGCCATTTTTAATATGAATATGAGTGGGCTAATAATGTAATTGTTTTTACAACACACATATTTTAGTTTAATAAAATATTCAAACAATACAATTAATCATTTTTTTTTTCAATTCATCATTTTTAATTCTAAAAATACTGCAATATCAAGTAAAAATAAAATCTAAAAAAGAAAATAGAAATTTGAAAAACGTACTCACGCACCCGTGTCTGAAATTTGGACTCTTTTTAGCCTTTTCTTTGTATCCCACATTTTAGAAAATAAAATATTAGACACTTAGATACGTACCCGTATCCAAGTCTGAGCATCATATGTGGTATTTTATCTGTCTCATCTGTTGGAAGTTCTTTATGGTTTCATCTGAATCACTCATGCTTAGTGTTTCTTGTCATTTGTGGAGAGATTCAGCTTCAGGAAAAGTAAGTACTTTAGTTCGTTTTATTTGTTACGGAGCTGTCCATGTTACTTGTAATTGTCAATTAACATATTTCTATTAATGTCTGACAGGTTTTTAAATTGCAGACTCCATGGCTTCCTTCAAAGCATTTTTAAACAGCCCAGTTGGTCCCAAAACGACTCATTTTTGGGGTCCTGTCGCTAACTGGGGATTTGTTATTGCTGTATGCTTTTCCACCTGAAACAACAAATTTATATTCATTTGCTTGATGGTTCCAAAGTGATGTTATTTAGCTCTACAGGGGCTTGTGGACATGCAAAAACCTCCAGAAATGATATCTGGCAACATGACTGCAGGTTGAACTATTGGCTTTTGAAAAATGAACACTCTAATTAATAATTAAGATTCTTATTAACTTCTCTTTTGCGTTTTGGTGATGCAGCAATGTGTATATATTCCGGGCTGTTCATGAGGTTTGCATGGATGGTACAACCTCGCAACTATTTACTTCTTGCTTGCCATGCTTCAAATGAGTCGGTGCAACTTTATCAACTTTCTCGTTGGGCCAAGGGTCAAGGGTAAGTGATCTGTGATGTTATATGATACACAAGCTGTGTTTGTGTGTTTTCCTCGTTTCTTCCTTTCTTGAGCTTTATCCCCTTACCCCCATATTAATGGGAAATGAAAATGGTGATGTATTTGCGGATCATAGTCGTTATTTGTTCACGTGATGGCCTGTGCTGGGCTTGGTGTTATCAGCTGGGTTATATCTCCCTTTCATAGTGTTTAGTCTTTCTCTCGTCAAATATGTTCGGCCAACCATGCTCATGTTGTTTGGATATATACAGAAACCAAAATTTTCACTGACAATGTAGAACGGATCTTTTTCTTTGTTTATAACTGTATATTCATTCAGTCTAAAGACAAAAGGAACAATAATACGATATATTGTGGAAAAAGTTGAAAGAAAAAGAAAGTATATTGGAAAGAGACTGTCTGCTTGTACATGTAGTGGTGTCAATAAGGCCTTGTGGCTAGAGGCACCCGCTTGAGTCATCCTTGCATTGTGGCGGGCCATACCAAGCTTGTCGATTCCCAGGGTGGGCCCAGGGCGGGCCTATGTCGTAACACCTAGTAGCCTCAAATCGACTGTTTTTCTTGGGTTATTTTCATTTTCATCCTCATAAAGTTTGGTCCTTTTTGTCTTGCTTGAGAGCGTGAACGCAGCATGCAATTAATCTATATACTTGTGAATTTGTAGGTATTTGGGAGGAGAGAAGGACAAGGCCTCGTCGCAATGAATCAACACTGCTATTTCTTCTTGGACAATCACATCGTCCTAGAAAACCTCTCCCAATAGGAGCTTTTGCTTGTTCATTTTGAATCTTCATTGACGTGTCATCACTAGAACATAATAAAACAGTATGATTGTATATGAAACGTTGACAAAAAACTATGTATCGACCGTATTGAGGATCTTCTTCCCTCTCAATTCAATGTTGTCAATTCAGCTGATAGTATGGAAATCAATGAGTTTGCTATTGCATGTTATGAATAAATAATATGGCTATTTGCCCTTCAATGGCCTATTCATCTCTCGAGAGACCCATTATTTTAAGCTGCTGTCCTCGTATGCAAAAAGACCACATGTAGGCAATTCTCTAAGAGGAGCACAGAATTAACAGAGGATATACTGCGCAATTTTGCCAACATTAAAGAGCGCCATTTGAAAACAGAATATCTGTGCTAACAGTCATACCTATAATTTTGAAGATAATGCCTTTTTAGACATAAGGTCATCAACAAAGAACATTGGTACACAAAATTTGCATTTCATTTGGCCGCCTTCATAAAAAACGGTTCTAGTATTCTTTCGAGATCCCCTATTGAAAAAATAAATAAAGCAGCCAGCTGAAGCGCTTTTAAGCAATCTTTACACCCAAAGTACGCACTTGTGTAGCAAACCTTACTACCAGTAAGGTATTCAAGCATACCTCCAGGTGATGAAATGATAATATTCTTCAACTTTTAATCTTCCTTACTAGTTTTCCGGGATTTCTTTTTCTTGCTTCGACTGTCCCCATGCCCTTTAGACGTCTTTTTCCTTTTTGTGGTCATTGCTTCATCATCTTCGTCTTGGCAAGGTACCTCATTCACATCTAGTGGCTCGGGAGCAGAACCAGCAGCATCTGAACAAGCACCATGACATTGCAAAAATGTTAGCTAAGAATGTCTGCGGTTTCAGATCCGAGTGATCTTCATTGTATGTGTGAGAATTGATCTAGTTTCAGATCCGAGTGATCTTCATTGTATGTGTGAGAATTGATCTAGTTTCAGATCCGAGTGATCTTCATTGTATGTGTGAGAATTGATCTAGTTTCAGATCCGAGTGATCTTCATTGTATGTGTGAGAATTGATCTAGTTTCAGATCCGAGTGATCTTCATTGTATGTGTGAGAATTGATCTAGTTTCAGATCCGAGTGATCTTCATTGTATGTGTGAGAATTGATCTAGAGTATCTTTATTTGAACAGAATGGTAACTAGGTAGGAGCCAAACTTTTCAGAGAGAACCTAGACTTTTGTGGGGGCAATAACTAAGTGACGCTCCGAAAGCTTCTATACCTCTAGCTACCAGAACTACTGTTCAAAGAAAAAGTAAAAAACAGCGATAAATTAATAAATGATCAACCTTGAGTACGAAAGTGAGAATCAAAAACAACATTGGTGAGATGCTGCTTCAAGAAAACCTGCATCCATTTAAAACAGAAACATTTATTGCAAAATATGTATACAATGGTACAAGTTTAAGAAAGTATGACAAGTGATATAGTGATAAGTTCATCGTCATTGAGTTTTGTCATTCGGCCTTCTTTCTAAATTGACTTGTATAAACACTTTGTTCCCTTGATGACCATGGTCAATTAATTAATTTTTTAATACCACGCTCCATGCACCCACCACCATCCCTTCTTTCTATCTGTTTTTTTTTTCTTTTTTCTTTTTTTTCTTTTTTTTTTTTTGGGTGTGTGCGCATGTGTGTGTGGGGTGGGATGGGGGGTCACGCCTAGTAAAATTAGTTTTAGAGAACTTGAAGAAGGAAAAAAAAAAAAAATCTACTATCAACAACATGATCCTTGACGACAAACCCATGACTTTCTTTTGGAAAAACTCTCATCATATAACTTCTGCTATTTGCAGAGCTTCTAGTCAAGCAAAGTAGTATAGTACTTTCCTTGAGGATGTGCATTATCCTGTGTATTTACATATTTTCCTGACTAACAAAGTGTTGCAGTATTTATAATCCTGTCAATTACACGCTCCTCAAGGCAAAATTTTATAGTCAAGGAGTTACTGCAGAGAATCCTCCATCTTTACCCCCTTCCCAAAAGATCCCTAAATAATGAAAAGAAAATTCTCTTGCAGATTGTAGTTAATGGTAATGATACACAAAATATATAAGAAAACTTACCGCAGACAGGAGTTGCCTTGAATGTATATCCCAAATGCGCAAGTAACTGTCCAACCCTGTAATAAAATCAATCCCTTCATGAGAAACTTTGAACATCTGAACATAATTGAAGCGACAACGATATAAATTATTTTGGTGAGCACTGAACCACTAATCCTTTAGAAGGATGGAATAACATAACGAAGAAATGGACAGCATTAAGAACCAATCTTTAGCATTTTAGGTTGCTATTTCTAGAATAGGAGAAAAGGACCCAAATAAGTGAAAAACAATAATAAAAAGGGGGCTGCTTTCATATTGATATACTCACCACATGAGGCAATTATGGGAAGTTCTGGGTGCCTGGCTAAGGATCTAATACTTCCAGAGCATTTTCCAATGAAGCATCCCAACAGTTTCCCTAAAATATTTAAATAATTTACAAAGAACTAAAAATGTGATTCCAATAGAGCTTGCTAGCTTACGAAATGAATTAAATTGGTATGGGACTCTCTCCTCAAGAACCAAAAGAGGATAGTTCAAACTGGTCAATGAACATTTTCAAGCTAAGGGCTTAAAATATTCTCAGTCAGCGTCATAGCAACTGCACACAAGCAATTGAATCAATTCAAAGGAATTTGTATAAAACACGGAGCATGAAAGAACTTGACAAAAGAATATCAGAGGTGGGAAGGTGGGGAAAAATGGAAAATGATGATGTAAATTAGAGATTGAGAAGTGCCTGTATACAAATTCACACATCATAATCCCAGCAATCTTGCCAAGGAAGCATCATTATGCATTTAAAACAAACCAAAAAACAGCAAAAAGAACAAAATAAGAAAAAGGGAGGGTAAAGCTTCAAAAATCAGTAAAGCCAAATGGGAAATAAACTACAGATGTAAAAGGTTTGAAACATACCTGCACGTATGTCAACAGAAGCAAGGTCACCTGAGCCATTTCCTATATATACTGTATGTCCATCAAGATCCTCCACAACAGCCTTAATAGGGGTCTCTCGAAAATCAAATGACATAACAGGTCTTCTCTGAGCAGAAATATCATAAAGACGAACCTGCCAAATTCATACAAGTAATATCATCCCATCTTTGCCACTTTAAAGGAGGAAAATCCTTGAGAAACACATAAAATTATATAAGCATTAATCATCCTGAACACGAAATGCCAGTATAGTCATCATAACAGATAACTTTAATAATAATCAACTCAAAACACTCATTCAATATCTTGAGCTTCTCTGTTTAAACTTTAAAGTCTTCTGCACACTTAAATTTTCCAACGAGGACAAATCTAAGCAAACATTCAATCTGTAGATAAGCATTGCTTTACCAATTCAATATCCTAGCATGAGCTATCTATACTCCTACCATTTCATTACTCTAAATTGGAAGACCATACAAAACATGTTCTTCCCTCTCTAGGCATTACGTTTCTATTATTCTATACACAAGTTTACCATTCTCTCTCATTTATCTCTTCTCCCTTTCCTCCAAAACATTCTTTTCCGGCCTTTCTGCCACACATGAAACCAGATAGCAATAAAATCAGCTAATACAAAACTTCCTATATCTTATTTGTTGGGCTTCAGACAAACTACTGTGCAAGTTCAAATCAGATTGAATTTATATTATTCATGTTTTGCTAAATGATATTGACTAAATATAATATTATTTTCCATCAGTCAGTGGCAAAACAGCTTATGCATTTCATATATACATTCAGTATACTCTATCCTTATCCACTGCGCATATCATCAATATGTACAAAAGTGTTCAACACCCACAACAAATGCAAAGGAAGAAAATTTATTAGAAGATCTTCTGCAGAATTCTAACAACCTTTAGTCATGCTTGCCTCAGGTATAGTTGCCTACTAAATGCTTTAGAAATTTCACCACACAACCCCACTGGAAGAGAGAGGGAGCAGCATAATGAATTTGCACTAGAAAAAGTGATTGTGTTTTTCACAATAGCCTTCGATATAAAAACTGCTTCCCTTAAAAAAACATAAAACTACTAGACATTTGTCGTATTAGAGGTGAAGTCACCGTAGGACTACCTGATGACAGCTTGTGCCAGCCACAAACTTACGATGATCATCTTTACTTAAGAATGTTGTAGACGTAAACCACATTGGGGTAAATATATCAAGGCTGTTTCTAGGGGGCTGCACAAGATAAATTCAGCAAACGAAATGCTTGAGACAATAATCTTTCAAACCAAAAGAAATAACGATAATGAAAAAACATAGTAACTTACAGATTTTGCGGTCCAGATTTTAGTGCACTTTTGAAGATCCCATACATTGACTTCAACACCCTTCCTGAGTATGAAAACAAGAGTCATAATCCCTTGGAGCATGATAAATTACCATTAACCTCAATTTTAAAATTGTATACTTATAGAAACTCACCCTCCAAACAAAGCATAGTTTTCGTTTTCTTCCACATTTGAACACAAAATATTACCCGATCCACATACATTCCACGATGTCGGAGAAGGATCACGGATAGAATCTGCTGGAGATTTGCTTTCCTCAAAAGATTCTATTCTTACATAACCTTTTGTTGTGCATGTAAGCGATGTGCATGACCTAAATTAACACAGTAGCAAGTGCAACAGAATCAGCATCTTCCACAATCTAACAAAATAGGTGTCACACAGATATGTAAATGCAGCGTGTGAGTAGCAAAACAAGGAAAGCTCGGTCCATGATGTGGGGGCAAATGAAGCCATACTAAGTCCAGACACGGCGGTGCATAAAAAGCTTGCCAAACATGCACAGAGCTAAGAACAAACATACTTTTTACCAGATACAAGTAGAACAATGAAGATGTCTAAAGTTAACCACCCAGTCAACCACTAAATCACGTCATTTCTTCCAAATTTTCCAATACATGGGAGAGGACAAAGAACTTGTCACTAGTTGGACAAAGGTTTGGGAATTTGTTCAAATCTTGCATTAATCAATTACCCAAAAAGTACTTAAAACTTAAAAGCACAAAAGTTTAGTAAAATTTAATTAGCTTGAACTTATACTCATTTTAAACCCTCGATATAACCAGAAATCATTTTGTCAGTGATTTATACAAGAAAACGTTTTAGAGAAGAGAAAATTGTGGAGTTATTCTAAGTCCCAGTTAAACTTTTAAGCTCAATGAAGCCCAGTTCAGAGCAATATCTCCAAACAAATCCTAATTAATTAAAGCATCTTTTCAAACTTTTGTCCTTCTGTTACATTAATTATTCGGCCCGGCTAAATACTATTTTTACTCAATTGAATTTCAATCATTGATTTGGCTTTGAGTTTTTTCATCTTTTTTACATTGCGATTATTTTTTAATCTATTGCAAATCTTAAAGATAAAAGCCTAAAAAATCTGCCAATATTTTGTGAACATGGTAGCTTGTAAGCTCCTAATGGAATCTACAAAATGAAAACAATCAATTTTGGAACAATCAGGTTATATTATTTTTTGGATTATAACTAGAGTTAATTGTGTAATCCAAATTTTGGAGAAAGGGAACTATGCTTCTCTTAACTTTAGGAGCTATCTGAAAATATTTCTAAAAAATAGGCATCTTAATTTTTTTTAATGCACCTAACTGTCTTTTGAATAACATCATAGGACTTGAATCTTTCACTTCGAAGATATCAATATTTTCATTACAGTGGACTTGACACTGGATCCATATAGACAGCCAGCTACTATTTCCAAGTTCACATAGAACAAACACAAAGCAAGGGTACAAATAATTCCTGTAAATCAGACCTGAAAAAACAGATAATGTAGATAAACGTCAAAAAGCAAGAAGTTGATGATCAATTAAGCAAAATGTGGGGGACAGAAATGGAAGAAAAAAATTAAAACCAACAGCATGCAGCCTATTATAAAAATATGCCGCTAGTATCATTTCGTACACAAAATATAAGTTAATACCCTTTAAAGGGAAAGAAAGTACTAAAAGTTCCGCATGCATAACCAAACAAAAAAAGGTAAAAAGGAAAGAACCAACAGTGTGCAATTGCAGCAATACAAAAAATAATAATAATAAAAAATAAAATAAAATATATGCCAGTAGTATTTAAAGAGAGATTCTAAGTGAAATGCGCTTTAAAGGGCAAGGAAATGTTTAGCACAATACAATCCAACTAATGTGTATCAAAATTACATTTACCAGTCAGTGAATAACTCTCTTAATATCGCTATAGGTTCTTTTAATAATTAAAATAAGATGCAGAATCGAGGTTAGATTTATATCCTGAAATTTGCTCGAGCTTTAGCCCCTTCTATCATTACCCTTTAAAGGGAAAGGAAGTACAAAAAGATCAGCGTGCATAACCAAAAATAAAGGAGGAAAGAACCAATAACGTGCAACTGCATAGATATAAAAAATATGCCAGTAGTATTTAAAGAGAAATTCCAAGTGAAATGCCCTTTAAAGGCCTTTAAAGCCCAAGGAAACATTAAGCACAATACAATTCAATTAGTGTGTATTGAAAGTACATTTACAAGTCAGTGAACAACTCTCTTAATTTCTCTATAGGTTCTCTTAATGATTAAAACAAGATGCTAAATCATGGTTAGATTTATGTCCTGAAATTTGCTAGAACTTTAGCCCCTTCTATCATAAGAATCGTCCAATGGAATTTCAAAATTATAAAGAGAAAATGAGATGCGTTTACTGGATATAATATGACTACAAAAGCAAGTTATGATACCTTGTTGATGATTCTGATCTCTGCTTTTTGAACAAATGCAATCCGACAATGGGATCATCCTCAGGTCTAGTTCCATCTTGACAGACATTAGGAATGGAATGACGAAGATCCCCATTTATAACACTAATCACATCTATCTATCAAGCAAATTTGCAATCCAAAGATGTCTGAGAAGGCTTAAAACTCAAGCAAGAACACATAAACCCCAACATGTGCACTAAATTTTTACAAGAGATTACTCACCAAACCACTTTTTCGGGCAACACCCAGCAGCTGCAGAAATTAAAATACAAGCAACAAAGCATCAGATCACAACTTAACAGAAATATTTGACTCAAAGAAATTGCAGAAACTGTTTGAACAGTACAAGACATACTCAATTAGTCTTTATGACATGACAATCTTCAAATATATGAATTTCAAGTTGTTGCCAAACTTACACGATAAAGAAAGATCTGCAGTCCGTGAGCAGATAGCACGAGCAAGACTAAGAAATATTTTCAACTCTTAATGGATTAGATCTTGTATTTCAACTTCAATATTAATGCTAAGAAATTCTTTCAACTCTCAAAACTTGGATCTTGTATTACAGCTTGAATATTAATGTTATAATATGTGGATACACGGCCTTTAGATACTAAACTCCATATTCCAGACAAGAAAATAACATATCTGAAAAGGCAGTAGTACCTCTTAAATATATTGGTCTCTTTCTCTGGATTTGGGAAGGACCGGAACTACATGAGTGGANCATATCTGAAAAGGCAGTAGTACCTCTTAAATATATTGGTCTCTTTCTCTGGATTTGGGAAGGACCGGAACTACATGAGTGGATGATTAGCTAGCATATAACCTTGAAAATAAACATTCAACTCAAACTTCTCAATAATTTATATCTTTATGTCATAAAGTAATCTAATAGATCACCAAGTTGCTCACCAGTAATTTTTTAAATGCACCTGCAGTAACTCCAGAGACAATTTTAAATTCTTACAGATTTTTTAATTAATATATAATGAGATGAGATCAACATACACGAGTCTAAGTCCAAACCATTACCCTCTTAAATACCTTCAAATCTCATATTTCTACTTTCGAATTTTTCCATTGCACACTAACCCAGTCTAAGGGAGTATTGTTGGACTTCGTCAATGAAGTTGTCCGCAGTAACCACAGAAAACTACAACATTCAGACAGTATTTTGGTGAACTTCTCCTGAATATATGATCATAGTGAAATTCAAAAGCTCCTCTGCCCACCAATATACAACAATACTAAAGTAGGTTTCAATTTTCAATCAAAAGTAATAAGATAGCGTCGTTAATTTCACAGCTACTCAATTTATTAGTACTCTCAATCATTCAGATGTCTTCCTTCAACTGTACCAATTTCACGACAAGAATTGAACTCTGCAAAAGGTACATAGTTGAGTACAAAAAGATTAGAAATAAACTGTACGTGCAGCATTTCTTTACCTTGGGCATACAAAGTCCAACTAAAACGCCAATAAAAGTAAATGATAACAAAAAAGCACACGATATAGATGCAGCTCTAACCTTTGATTCAATGCCACAACTTTATCACAATTATTAAAAACCAATTTCACTTACTAAAACAACAACTACCATCACAAAAGATTGCAAAACAAACTTACAGGGTCTTTCTCTCGGTCCAGAATTGAAGCAGAAACCACGCTTTTGGAGGAATCCGGGTCACCCCATCTCTCCACCACCTTTGCAGCAGCTCCACTTTGCTCTCCCCGTGTCTCAATAACTGTTCGAAACGCCCGAATAGCAGAATAAAAAAACAGTCGGTGAGTTCAATTAAACTTCTCTAAACTACAAAAAACACATTTCTGATTGTAAGCACAAACAATTGTTTCAGTGTTTTACCCTTAACAAGGCCGAGAACGTCGGTAGTCAAAGCTCTAAATGGAGGGCAACTGGGACTCTCCACCTTCGTTGTACGCGGCATATTATTCTTGTACTCACTACACGAAGTTGTAAATATTTGCAGCTCTCTTCGTGGCCGCCGTCCAAAGAGAATAGATGAGAGAGAAAGCAAGGCGGCAGCGGGATGCTGGCAATTTTATGGGCCTATCCTGTAAT